GTTGTATTTCAGCACTCTTTTGGAACCAAATTTGACACACTTTCTCGCGTTGATCATTTCTGTACTCCACAAGCAGTCCTATTGCAGTCAGCACGGATATGTCTACACTAGAGCTGGAGGTGTAAACTCCAGCTCCAGGAGATATACCTGCACTAGCCCTGATGGAGCTAGAATTCTCAAGTAGAAATGAAGCCGTGAGCAGTGGGAGGGGCTAGCCACCCAGAGTTTGTACCAATGATCTTGGACAGGATTTACTCAGGGTGGCTAGTTCTTCCTGCTGCAGTTACACTTCTGTTTTTAGAATGCGATCAGAGCTAGCACAGATGTAGCTCAATGAGCTAGAATTTATACCTTTACTCACTTAGGTATTAAAGTGAGTAATAGGGTGACCAGATGTCCCGATTTTATAGGGTTTTTTTTCTTATATAGGCACCTATTATCCCCCACCCCCGTCCCGATTTTTTACACTTGCTATCTGGCCACGCTAGTGAGTAAGAGCATCAGAACCTGGCTTTTAGTGAACAATTATAAAGTAGCTATATGAAGAGACTTGTATTGGTGAGAACTCCTCACTTGCCTCTATCAAATTAAGAAAATTAATCAGTTTAAGCCAAGCAGCCCTTTGAGCCCTTTCCTTAACAGGATGATTCATGAACTGGAATGGGAGATGTAAATGCCAAGATGACAGAGCTATTGAATTTGGAGAATTCCTTTTGGTATATTAGTATGCCTGTTAGAAACGTACACAAATAGAAACAACCTTAGTATATTTGAAACCTAATTTATACATAAAACAGACAAACTTGATTTGCAGTGCATATTCAAATGTGCTACTGTTCCTCACTTTTAAACTGTCCAAATTAAGGGCTTGATACTGCTCCCCTTGAATTCAGTAGAGGAGTTGCTGTTAATTTCCCTGAGAGCGTGACTCAGCCTAATATCCCCAGTGGGACTTGTAAAGGTTCTCATGAGGGTAATTGTTTGCAGGATCAGAGCCTTAGTCTGTCTGAGATGCAAAAGACAGATACAAATTGCAACATTAGGTAAATACTGTAAACCTCAGAAAACACTCTATAGTTTAATGAAGGAGAATCAGTTATTCTAATACTTCCACCTATTCAAAATTGCATTGGGGTGCCCATTAATGTAGGATGAATTTTTAAAAAAACACTCAGAATATTGCACTTACCCCACCCCCCACCATCCTGCCCCAGCTGTGTGCAGTATAGCAAATTATTTTTTGCCATGGCTTTCTTGAGTATTAATAAGCTCCCAGTTTCTCTCTCTCTCTCATTCTTATTTTAAAACTGGAATTTTAAAAGTATATTTAAAGGAAAGAATCACAAAATATCAATGGATGAGCATCGGGGTTCCTCCTCCTCCATTGGGAGTATCCTTTCATACAGAAGGTAACAGAACTATTCTCCTTCAGACTTTCCCACCCTGAGACTATGGAAGATGACAATCCTGATTAGATAAGAGCTGCTGACATGCAGCCATTGATGTGCTGTGATATTTGAAAAAATATCAATACCCACTAAAAGCTTCCATTTCACTTTCTAGTTCATCTTGCTCCTTCACCATGAAAGATCTTAATATCGCTTTTCCAGTGTCACATTTTTTATAATCCTTTTCCGCCTGTATTTCACTTCAAATAATCCTTCTCATTCTTTGTCACATGCACTTTAAACCTCTTTTAAATCGCAGATTTAAACTTCTAAAACAAGTTAAATTTTTTGTTGCTATGGCTATTTGTGATTATTATTATCAAGTAATTAATAATACCATTGTGCATGTACCAATCTGGAATTTATTCTTGGAGTTCTTTTGGACTTGGTCTCCCACAGTTTATAATGCCAGCACAACCACTGATTGAATTACATCCTTTGTTACTCAGCTGGGGTCAAATTATTAGTCTGCAAATAATAGGGTATAGTGCACCTTCTCAGAAGTACCTATACAAGTGCTATTCAATTTTTCTTATTTCCATCTTTTTGCACAATCTCTAGTAACAAATAACATTCATCTTGTCAAGAAAGGAAAAACTGGAAAACAAGCCACTATTTCTGCTTTAAAGCAGCCTGCCTTGGTAATAAACGTGGGTGACATTTTGTATTTGTGGAATAGCGAAACAGACATTTATATTCTGTGAAGAATTAACTTACTGAAATTTGGCCTTTTCCTAGGGCTAGTCAACACTGGCAACGCTAAAGTGCCTTGTTTGGTCGCGGCAGAGTGCTCTTAAAAAAAAACACCTTCACGAGGGGCGTAGCTCCCAGCCCTGGTGCACTGTCTACACCAGCGCTTTACAGCACTGAAACTTGCTGCGCTCTGGGGTGTGTTTTTTCACACCCCTGAGTGAGAAAGTTGCAGCACTGTAAATTGCCAGTGTAGACAAGCCCTTAGCTGTTGGGAATCTATGCACCTTTCTTTCCTAGAAATATGTGCTAGAAAAATAGAGTAATGTTTCAAATCTAAAGGAAGAATACTGGGCCATGTTCTTCTTCCTTACACTAGGGCAATCCCCATAATTTTGGCTGGTATCTTTATAGTGGACCTTGAGATGGCTGCACTTGGGGCACTGTATATATGGGTCTGAATCAGCCTATTTATAAAAAGGGATATCCAAGTTAAGGAGAAAGTACAGACACTCATTATTCTCGATAACAGCAAATTAAAATCTGTCCTCAGATACACTCACAAAATTCCCATTGAATTCAGAACTTGTATACATGTATGCAAGGGCAGTACTTTGACCCAATGAAACCACAAAAGTCAGAAATGGGTTTTAGCATAAGCTGATGACCGAGTATGTAACACAAACAGGTCTGTGAGATACAAAATACAGCAGTCAGTCTTAGAAACATGCAATCACCTCAGACAGAGGTTTCTATAATTGTTACCTCAGTAATTGCAACATTCTAGGTATTCCCTATAGTATGTAGAGACAAGAATAAGGGATATTACAAACAGTGATGTAATAATCTTATCTAATTATCCAAGGCAAGTTTTTAAGAGTGACCATTATATGAGGTCAAACCTGCAGAACTTTATAGGCACTTAACCAATATTTCTATCAGAGAGAGTGAGTGAAAGTTTGATATACTGCACTATTGTAACATGTGGTAAAACTATATTTCCAGTCCATTTCTGATATATTTGCTGTTTCATGTACAACGTGATGTACTTACCCCCTCAAATCCATCCAAATGCTGATCCTAAAATCACCTTCTAGTCTGTCACCCCCACTTCAAATCCCTCAATAAGTTCCCCCTCTTCTAATGCACGAAACACGAACTTCTTGTCCTTATTTACAAACCCTTCCACAATTTAGCCCCTCCCTTGATATCAGACCTATTATCTTATTCCAAGACCACCTCCTGCCGTCACTCCACTAGTGATTCTAGACTCATTCTCCGTTTCTCTAACAAGCACTTTTGGGCTTCCTTAGTCCAGATCCATAAAGCCAGTATCTTGTCCTCCTTCAAGCCCTTCCTCAAAACTCACCTTGTCTGTTAACACATACAATAAAGAACAGCCTAGTAATGGCTAGGCAGGTGAAAAGCTACAGTCACTACTACAGTCTGGCTAGGAATTCCACATATGCTGCTATATTTATGTGTTACCACATTTCCCTTGGCCCACTTGTCTCATCCACCTGCTATGTCACCTTTTAGACTGTAAGGGCTTTTCTACCCTTGAAACGCTACAGCTGCTTCAGTGGAGACACTACCTACACTCACAGGAGAGGTTCTCCTGTCATCATAGGTAACTCACCTTCCTGAGAGGCGGTAGCTAGGTCAATGGACGAATTCTTCCATCAGCCTAGCATTGTCTACACTGGGGATTTTTCACACCCCTGAGTGATGTAGCTATGCCGATGTAAATGCCCAGTGTAGACCAGCCCTAAGGCCCAGATCCTCAAAGTTATTTAGGCACCTAACTCCCATTGAAATCAATGAGAATTAGGTGCCTAAATATCTTTGAGGATTTGTGCCTCAGTGTTTTGGATCAGGGACTGTCATTTATTATATGGTTTTGGTAGGAGTCACCAGATGGTCTTATTTTCCTTAGCGTGCAAGCACTGTTCAGACTTGGATGATATTGTAGGTTTTACGATTGTTCTCTGTCTTAATCTCTTTAATTCAAGTCAATGCTTGGGACAGAGTCACATCCTGGGAACCACAAAAAGAACAGGAGTACTTGTGGCACCTTAGAGCCTAACAAATTTATTTGAGCATAAGCTTGGAACATATAGTAAGAAGATATATATACATACAGAGACCAACTTTCACCTTTTCATGTTCTCTGTATGTATATATATATATCTTCTTACTATATGTTCCATTCTATGCATCTGATGAAGTGGACTGTAGCCCACAAAAGCTTATGCTCAAATAAATTTGTTAGGCTCTAAGGTGCCACAAGTACTCCTGTTCTTTTTGAGGATACAGACTAACACGGCTGCTACTCTGAAACCTGGGAACCAGGCATTGGTGTTTGGGCTGAAATTTCTGAAAGAGGTTTGCCCTCTTGCTGTTTGTAACTACCTCCATTAAGGGACTGGTGTATTAGTGTAAATAAAGCAAGCTACCCTAAGGAAATACCCCACATCACTGATTACTCTGCATCACTGATTTTTTCTCTAATGGGAAACTGCTGTGCATGACCCAACATCTGCTATTAGCTGGCAGAGGGCTGACAATATATTGCATGGCACCTTACATAATGGGGCCAGGATGGCTGAGACATTACTGCAATTTAAATATTTAAGTGAGGAAGATGTTTGATATGAAGGTAATCCTTTTATACCAGATTGTTATTGGAATGTGGAACAGTGGCTGAAGACAATGTATATAATGACCAAAGGCAGAGATAATTAAATTCAGCCACATGTAATAACTAGAAATATATAGTGAATAGCAAAATGAGGCAGGGCATGCCTGACACTGAGTACTGGTTCTCTCCAATCACAAATTCTGTGTGTTTTGCATTGACAGCATCATCCCTATGGGGCCAATCCACCTGTGGAGTAACTATAGAAATAAATGGAGTTGCACCAGGGATGGATTTGGCCTTACACATTTGAAATAAAAAGGTAAGTGTTTTAAACCAACCACAGCTTGGAAGACTCACTTGGAATACCAGGCAACCAGGCATTATAAGTGAAAGTCTTTGCAAGAGGTGGGGAAGACTAGCTTTGAAGCTGAAGATTAAGGTACATATTTTCTCAATACAGCAAATGAGAATGCAACTTGCAGAGGACCAACAGCTGAGGAGAGGGTGTGGGAACCAGAAATACATTCAATGGTTGGGAGGTTGTTGAAAGTTAAGATCAGGAGAACAGATAATTTGGAGGGCTGCAATTTCTCCTGCTCCTGCCTCCCCCATATTCAAGCCCTAATTGGCAGCCGACTTGAACAAAGTAAGCAGCAATGACACCCAACACGGAAGGGCAATAGCTTCATTATTAATGTGTGCAAATGCCACCACCCTCCTAGTTTAATCTTTATCTGTTTTGATAGGATGATAATTAAATTCAAACACAACACAACAAACAGCCCCACTTTGTCTCTTGCAGGGCGGAGGGCGAGGGAAAGGGGAATCAGCCCCTTAATTACTGTGTGCACAGCACTTTGAAAACGTAAATCACTCGCTAGGTGCTAAGTATTCCTAGCATTATTTAGCGGCAGCCCCAGGCCTGGGCCAACTTTGTTTTAGTTGCAGATGCAGGGGAGCATGGACTCTGCCTCCCAGGCGGGAGGGGAGAAAAGGCCAGAGGGGGCTAGCAGCTGGGACACTCCTCCGCCTGTTGGCTTGCTGGGGAATCTGTCATTGAAAAACGAGCAGTGGGGGAAGAATAGCTTCTTCTAGCCCCTCCCTATAAAGGCCAGCGGCAGGCCCCCAGCCTGACATAGGAGCTGCTGGGCGAGACACAAGGGTGGGTGAGGTAATATTTTTTATTGGACTAACTTCTGCTGGTGAGAGAGACCAGCTTCCACAGCTCTTCTTCCCCTGCCTCTCCTCTCCTCAGGCTGCTCTGCACAGCCCCTGCACACAGCCTTTGAACCCAGCACTGCTCCTGCAACTCCTCCCTCAGTGGGTCTAGAGTTTCCCTCCCCTCCCTCCTGGCTGCTGCCATAGTGATGTGGAAACAGATCGCTCTGTCTCCAGGGGAGCAGCGCGGGGGAAGGACTCCTTGGAGCTGGAGCTGCTGCGGGTAGGGCTGGGAGCGGGGCTGCCCCCTCGGGTTCTGAGTCCTGCCTGCTGTCCTGTGCCTACTGGCTCCTCCCAGGTAATGGGCTCCTGCTCCTTCTCAGTCCCCGCACTGGGGCAGGGAGGGGACACCGCTCTCTCTGCTCTCCTAGCTGCGATTTTCCTGCTGGGAGGATGGGTGAGGCCGTCTCTGGTGAGCAGCGGGGCAGGTGCTTCTGCCCGAGCCAGACCAAGCGAACACTGACTACACCTGGGAAACCCCAGGCCCCTCTGGGTGGCTGAGGCATGAATGGGCTTTGGCTGCCCCATGGAACCAGGAGTGTGCAGCATGCTGCTTTCTACCGTCCTTGTGTTGGGTAAATAATGTTTGCAAGTTAGTCTTCTCACTGCCCTTCATTTGTCTCCTCCCCCCTGTAGTTATTTCTTGAGGGACTGGGGAACCCGAAATATAAGCATCTGGTCTGTGTTGGACTCGGTGGCATTATTTTTAGGTGTGCTTCTCTCTGCACACACCGCTCTCCCACCAGACTAGTGCCAAGGGTGGAAGAAATGTTAAGAAAAGATGCGTTACTTGGAAAGCTGGCGTGTTTTGGGGGGTGAAAACCATGTTGCTCAAAAATCCTCTTGTTTTTGCATGACAATAGAGTAAAAGTAGCAGCAGTTTTGAATATGCAACAAAATGAGGGGCAGGCTTGAACTTCAACCCGTTCGGATTTAGTCAGACAGCTCTTGCCCATTTCTAGTTAACAATTTCTAGTCTGTTAAATCGTTAGACTAAGCTTCTCCCAGGCAGACTCCAGCTGAGACAATTTGAATGAGGGGGATTAAAAAAATATATGAGGAGGATTTTAAGCGTCACATCGAAACACACTAACTAGGGAACAAGATTTTAAAACCTCCATTTAAAATTTATCCAAAAGGAGGGACTCAACTTCAAAAGTCTGGATCCAATATTTTTAAAGACCCCTAAAAGCTTAACATTTGGGGTATCTTATGTTTGCTTATAATTTGACATGTGCACTGTTTACTATTTATAGTGTGTTTAGTATGTATTCATTCTAAGGGGGAAATGTAACCATTAAAAAGCTTCATGCGCTTTTGAATGTACTGTACTCCAGGTGGCGATAATTGTTTATATGTGCACGGGGTGGGGGAGGGTTGGTACATTTACAACTGGGGCTTCTCCCTTTAATATTCATTGACCTGCCAAGTGTGGAGAGGTGATGGGAATGGCTTGTTTAAACCCTGTGAACGGGGAAGCTTTCTGACTTCACGCTGTGCCTAAGTGCTTCTTCCCGGCTTCTCTGGTTGCTAGGGGGCTTTTACTTCCTGTTTCAAATTAGCCTTTAAAGTTCACATGACTTCTTGAGACCGAGACCTTACCCTCTGAAGCTTGGTCAGTTTTTCGTTTGTTTGTTTGTTTGTTTGTTTGTTATAAGGAGCAGATTTCACGGGTACTTCTTTCGTTTAGTATATCTGTACATTTCCTACTTTCTTTTATTTTATGGCCAAGACCCAGGTATCTAGGAATGGGCTATCTCTGATCCCACTGGCCCTAGCAAAATTTGACAGTACCAAGGAAACTTGTCATTGCTCTCCTGCTAAGGGCAGTAGCTGCTTTAGGTTGAGGGTCCCTGAACTTTTTAAATTAATTGTTTACCCCCCTTGTTTAATTTCCATCCCTCCCAGCATCCGTGGATAGTATATGAACCAAAAGGTCAGGAAAGCACAACCCAGTGAACCCTAATTTGTCTGTTTGTAGTACATGAAGCACAACACATGCTGCTTCCTCCCGTGCTCATCTGCATCGCATCCCACCATCAGCTGCCCTAGGTCACTCTTCTAACAGCACATCATCAGGACAGGCTTTTGTATGTCGTTACCTACTTTTTTACCGCTTCAAATACCTGCTTGTATATTTTTCTTTTATTAGAGAAAATTACTTTGCTGTAGATTTGACTGACTTAGGCTTGTCTGCTAAGGAAATTACAAGATACTTGAGTGCCTTGCATTTATTACTTCAGTGATACTCCATGCATAAGTAAAGTGATCAAAGTTTGGCCCTTGGATAGCAACAAACTATAGAAAATATACATGTTCTATTATTTTGTATTATGTCAACAATATCCTAGGAGTAGGTGGCACATGATAGGGAATTTATAAGTCTGAAGGCATTCAGTCTTTTTGATGTGAGTCTTTCCCCTTGGTTGCATATATGGTCATGTGTCTTGGAATTCAGGAACTTAGTATTGTGATGAGAAAAATGGCTGGATCTCTCTCCCCTTTCTGCCCCCCCAGAATAGTATTTTTTTAAGTTTCCATTTTGCTTCAAGTTAAGTATAAAAGAAAGAGCAAGGCAAGTGCTGAAGCATCTGTCACTGTGTTTCAGTCTTATAATTTTGTTTCTTGCAATAGTTAGTATAATGTGCTTTAGAGGTGGGACTATATTTGCTTAAAATGTATTGTTAAACTGGGTAGGATAACTCACATAGCATTACAGTATATTTGCTCTGCTAAGGTAGGTTTGATTATTTGAGTCAGATAAACAAAAACATATTTAAGTTAAATTGGTCTTTTAAATAACTAAACGGAACATAAGTATACCTCTTGTTGTTTAAAGTGAACTATTAACAGCTTTTCCCCGAGCCCCATGATACAGCTTTGTTTAGTTAATAGTCCTTGATTTTATTCATAGGGAACCATGTCTCATTTCGTAGGGAATTTTGTGGGGAGGAAAATGGCTAACTGCTGGCTTTGTTTTCTTGATGCAGGCAGTGCAGTCTGAAGAGCTCAGTTCACACAGTAGATGTGAAAACAAGGCAAGAAGAGGTGCAGTAGATGAAGGGCTGGGACCTGGGACAACTGAGGAAGATGGTATTGTGGATCTGAGCCATAGCACCTTCTGCCCTCATGCTAATGGCATTGAGGACATGACAACATTTCAGAATGGCTGCGGAAATGGCACCACTGTTACCTGTATAGTAATGGATAATAAAGAACCAAGAAGTATAACTAGCAATGGGGGATGCTATAGCAACAACAGTGCTGAAGAGGAAATACAAGATGACCATCTCAGCCCTTCAAAAATTATGCGCTTTTTCTCTACCCCTAGGAAACGAACTACCTCCAACTCAGAAAGGCCTCGTTCTCTGATTGTGATGAGCAGCTCTTCAACGTGGAATGCTTTGTCTTCCATTAGAAAAATGGGATCTTTCAAGAAATTAAAATCTTCAGTTCTTCAAGGAATTCAGGCCAGAGAAAGCTCAGATGGCTTAAATGAGAACACTGTGGGAAAACATGTCTTGAATGGTGCAGTGGTGAGAGTTCAGACTAACCGGTATTCTTATTCGGGACCTTTACATGATTCTCATAATGCAGTGGATGGTTTGGCTTCTGATTGCTCTGATGTAGAGGAAAGTGATGATTCCTTCCTGAGGAATACTCACCGATCACGCAGTATCAGACGTGCCTATGGTGTTGGCCGCATCAATTTATTAGACACCGATAAAATTCAGAGTCAGCAGAACTGCACGAGGCCAACGTCTCCCATCACCCAGGAGCCAAAGATCTGTGAAATTTTAGTGAAAGATCCCGAAAACAACAGGATTATCTACAGGAGAAGCAAAAGCACAGATAGCTTAAACTTTCTGAAAAAGAGCTCGTTCAAACGAAAGTCCACCTCAAATCTCACTGACCTCAAGATTGCAAGTGAAAAGCAAGTGCCACAAAGGACAGTAAGCACTTCCTCTGCTGACTCCGACAAAACCAGTGGAAACCCAGAGAGACGGTCAAAACGCTGGAAGAGCCCTATCAGAGCAAAGGATTTTGACAGAGTTCTGAAACTTGTAAGCAATGTTACAGATGTTGCATGGAAGAAAGATGGTCCTATGAGCACGACGACTCCTCTGAACGAACAAAACCAGAGAACAAGGCCAAACAGCAGACTACATGACGACTACTCCCGCAGGGTTTCTAGTAGCAATGAAAATGACAGACGGAGGTGCATTTCCCCTGTGTGCAGTCCAGATTCTACCTTTTCTGGAACTCCGCATCTTCATAGTCCAACTGTTTCTCAGGATACAGACACTGAAACAAATGTATTTACTGGTGAGGCCAACAGCTTCAGGACATTATCATGTGTCTTAGATGATGTTCGTTCCTCACACGCTTTTAACGACTTTAGTGCACTTCCTAATGAAGTGTTTTATGTAGACTCTGATGAACCAAAAAGTACCAGCCAGTTTACGTGTGAATCTGAGCAGCCTAGCATTCCTCTTAGGCCCACTGCCCCTAAACCTCAGAGCCCCAGTGCTGAGAAGGTCAAGTGCAATATTAATTTCCATTGCCCGGATCGTCACAGTACATTGTCACTGAGCTCAATGGAAAGCGAGGAAAGAGTTGAGTTACCTGCTCCGAAGTTGGGGAGAAATCCTGTTTGCCTCCAGGACTCAGTGCAAACTGGGTACTATGATGATGGAAATGAAGACAGTGGCATAAGCAGCCACTCTCAGCTGAGCCTCAATTTAGCTTCTGGTACCGAAGAAAAGAAGGAAGAGGTAAGAAGGAAAGCAAACCCCACTATATGTTAGATGTTCAGTTGCAAGGTTTGTTTTTATTCATACAAAAATGACAACCTGAATGCTAGGAGCTGTTGCAGCTTGTTACTGCTAAAATATGCTGACAGCCAGCAAGCAATGATTTTTTTAATTTATTTATTTAAATACCAGGTTTGGAAGCTAACATCAAATTATTTTTCCCTGTGCATGTTAATATTAAAGAAAGTGTTGGCAGCAAAGCTGCTCAAGTACATTTTCAAGGACAGTTTATTATGGCCTGCGGTTATACCACCTTGTGACGTGATCATGTTGGATTTTACCAAACTAAGCCAGGACTGGAGAACACTTAAGTGGTGCTCTGTGCAGTCATGTTAATTCAGTAGGTCGCACTCTTCCCTTGGACCAGAAAATGTTAATGTTTGTAGAGCACAAAGGGGTTGAAAAGCACAACATAAATCAAACCTCTAGTTGTTTTTACTGTGCATTACCAGCAGTGATTGTTGGTAAATGAATGAAATATTTGGAAGCATATTTCAAAAGCAGTCAATTATTTTACCTGTAGTTGTCTATTAATGTTTTTAAAATGATGGGCGGAAACTTAATATGTTGCTATTAACTATAATTGATTTCATTGCGCCTAATTAAAAACTTACCACTGTCAATGGATGTGGCCAGTTATAGTGCTTCATTTTTGAGTAAATGGGACACAGTTAAGGTCTTATGTACAGTGTGGGTTTTGCACTAGGCTGAATCAGTGCAGAACTCTAGTGTAGACATCCTGCACCTGTTTAAACTGTGACTTACCTCACTTTCAAAGTGCAACTGGTGCAAGTCACAGTTTAGACTGACGCAGCCCATCTGTGCTAAGAGTATACAACTACATTGGTTTAACTGCACCAGTGCACCCAAAAACAAAACAAAAACATTGTACATAAGGTCTCTCCCTTTTGTATCCCAGATGAAAAGTTTATAAAATCAGAAGATTATGATACGTTCTGCTGCCTCCTGTTTGTCAGAATGACCATTATACTGTCTACAAAAATGTGGAGTGCCGGCATTAATTATAAATCACAAAAATCTCAGCTAGTCAAATTATAGATTTATGAGATGGGTGAGGATTTCTTATGTTGTTGAAGCCTGATGCATTTTGTAAAAAGTGACTGTAAATATTCATTATAAGCAGCATCTTTCTTCTGGACAAAGTAATACAATTAAAAATAGCTTAGATTACTGTGATACTCCCAATTGTGGTAAAATTGGGAAATGATATGTAATAATGTATATGCATCAGGGCAGTAGAAGAGTTTCTCATTAGTTCTTGGGATGACAAAACCAGTCCGCTTCATTCTGCAGTTTTCACACCCAGAGTGCACGTGCAGAGATGCTTTTTAACAGCCTGGAGACATGAGAATGCTAATGTATGTTTATGTATGTCAGTTGCATTTCCTGGAAACTATATGTAGCAGTTAAATGACAGAATTAATGCTACCTAACTGCCATCTAGTGGTGAACTATAACCATGACATCATCAAGCACTGAATCCAAACTCCTGCTTTCCCCTCCCAAAATAACTTGGCACTGCTGTAAAGACATGGGTTTTGATGTATGTGTACATCAGACATATAGGTTATTACTAAATATTGTATTATGTCCTGTTTTCTGACACTATCTAAAAATAACCAAATCTTGGTGTTAATATTGACTATGATTTTTACCCGTGAGGATGTGGAGTACTTCTGTGAGTTTTTTTTGCAGTTTATCTCCTTCAGTTGTCTAAACTGAAATGCACACCCTGGACTAGTGGTAGTTATGTATTTTGAGACCTATCAGATGGTAATACCCATGAGAGGCAGATGAAGAACTCAGGAAAATCCAGTGAAGTTTCTGACTAATGGCCCCCTCAGCCTCAGGGCATTCAACCATTGGCTTCTCTGCCCATGCCTGCACAAAGGAAATGTTTGTGCCTTTTGTGAGGAGGATACAGGCATGGAGCGGAAGCTAATAATGCAAGGAGCAATGTTAACTTGGTGGATACCTGGATACAAATTGTGCATGGAACCTGCCCTCCACGGCGAGTGGAAACTCTCTTCTCTTCTCTTCCTATCTGCTCCCCACCTCATCCAGAGCCATAAAGCCATAGTCACTTCGAGGTTTGGTCTACACTACCAACTTATGTTGGTATAACTACATCGCTCAGGGTGTGGATTTTCTGCACCCCGAGTGATGTAGTTGTACCAGCCTAACCCCTGGTGTAGACAGTGCTATGTCAAAAGGAGGGCTTCTGCTGTCAACATAGCTACTGCCTCTCAGGGACATGGAGTTCCTACGCTGACAGGAGAAGCTCTCCCATCCGCATAGATAGTGTCTTCACTAAGTGCTACCGTCAGCGTAGACAATCCCTGAGTTGCCATGGATGGGAGGGAGAGCATGCTCTGCTCTCTCCACATTTCCCAGCAGAGTGGAGCTATGGCATCTGCTTTGTGCCCAAGTTTACAGTCACCTCAGATGTCAGAAATATTTTAAATCTGTGCTTATTCAGCCAGTAGGCTTGACCCTGAATGCCACGTGACGACATGCTGGTTTGAACTTTTGACTGGGATTCCTTCATAGCTTTGCTTTCTACCTCTCCATTACAGCATTGCATTCCCCCCGCCCCCCAAAATGCCTTTGTGGCAGTTTCAGAGCATTCAGAATAAGCTATCATTTTAAGATATAACTTTGGATAGCACGAGTACACAAATCTTAGGATGGAGTCCTAATTATAAATACAACACGCTGATGGGCTATCCTCCAAAGGTTCAGAGTTTCACTGGATCTTATCTGTACACTTATGCAATGCATCCATTAGCATTCTGTGGTCACATCTACATAATTAAATATACAATACACATCATGCTGAACAGAGATGGGCCCAGGCCAAAACCACAGAGCCCCAGCAAATTTGGGGAAAGTTCAGATCCAGATTTTAACTTTGTGGTACAGGCCGGTATCTAATACAGTTCAGTTTGAATCTTATACAGACTCCATCTAAGCGTAATCGACATGTTCCTTTGCCTCAGGCCCCAAGCTGTTCTTAGGTAAGTTGGTTTAAGATAAACCCCTGAAAGTTACCTAAATGCTTGTTACCTAAATTTTTTGGGTTGACCTTTTAGTAAGGTCAAAACACCTCAACGGATAGTTTTATGTTGAGGAATTGCCTTGATATGGGGCAGAGGGAATGAGATACCTACTTGGATAACCTATTTGTCTTCTAACAGACAAATCTGCATCATCATACTTAGTAGCACTATTGCTCATAGCTCTGCTGCAGCCTTTTCTGGATCTGTTCTTCTTTCTCTTGCTATTCCAGCACCTGGCTGTTTCCTTCTCCCAGAAGTTGGGTGACAAGGACATAGCGCACTTATCCCAAATGTGTTTTGTTTGAAGTGAGTTATGGGTGATCTAAGCCTTGAGACTACAAGCTGTTCTGCAGGGGCAAACTCTTGCACCCATGAGGAGCCCCTTGAAGTCAAATGTTAGCCTGTGCAGATCAGCATGAAGGATTGGGGCTCTACTCAGCTACTGAATTCAGGAAGCAGAAGGTTATGAGGCCATTTTATTTATTTATTTATTTATATATTTTAAGGCCTTGTTTTGGGTGCTCCCTAGAGCATGTATCCTTGTCAATTTCACTACAGATGTCCACTGTCTTTGGTTGTTACTGTCAGTGGAGCAGTAAGGGCTACCCTGGAAACCCCTACTCCTGGCAGTCCTTACCCAAGTACTTCCAACCAAGCTGAGGGGCAACTCATGTTTGGCTAATGTAGATCAACTATAGTATTAAAAACAGAGTACTTATGTGAACAGGCGTTTGCAGGGTCTGTCCCTTAATGAAAGAGACTTCCTTGGTGTCTCTACATTTCCAATCTGACCACCTTGTTTCTCTTAAACTCAGCTGAGTCCTGTGTTCTTTTTTGCCAGTCCTTTGAAAAGGAGAAGGCTAAAGTTGTTTAAAGGTCAAATAGCCAAGTGTTGAGGTATTTCTACACTACAATTGCACTGTAGTATAGCTGCTTCTTGTATTGACAGAAGGGGGTTTTCTGTTGATGTAGTTAATCCATCTCTTTGAGAGAGGATAGCTAGGTTGACAGAAGAATTCTTCTGTCAATCTAGCTCATCTATGATGGGGGTTTATGTTGACCTAACTATGTTCAGAGTGTGAAATTTTTCACAGCCCTGAGTGTAGCTAGGTTGATCTCATTTTTAGGTGTAGATCAGGCCTTAGTTGCCCTACCCAGTCAATTAGTAAGTACTTATCAGAGAACTAGCAAATAAACTTCATGAAACTTTGTTAATCTATATCTGTGACTAGAACTGAAAATTAAGGCCTTGTCTACACATGCAAATTGTCCCGATTTAACTAAATTGGCAAAACTCCCCTGTGGGGACACTTAAATCAGCTTAAGAATGCCTTATGTTAATTCAGCTTAAGTCAGTTTTTTCAGCTATAACGGAGTGACTTAAGAGTGTCCACACAAGAGGATTGCACCAATGTAACTAAATCTGTTTAGTTAAATTGGTGAAGTTTTTGTGTGTAGACAAGATCTAAATTCCCCCCAGATACCAGGATTTTGCTGCCCTTGCTGAGATCTAGTTTCCTCTGCATTATGCTTTTCTATAGCACTTGTAATGCACATTTTGCTTTCAGCTGGCATCAATAGATGATTAAGTATGATGATGGGTTTGGAATATTTCCCATGCTCTTGGCCTCCCTAAAGACGAGTCCTATGGAAGATGTGGAAATGACAGAAGTGTTAAATGACTTGTTTGTTTTAGTTTTCACCAAAAAGGTTAGTAGCAATAGTGAATGCCAGTGGAAAATAAGGTGGGATCAGAGGCTAAAATAAGGAAAGAACAAGTTAATTTTTAACTTAGACAAGTTAGATGTCTTCAAGTCACCAGGGCCTGATGAAACACATTGGAGAATGTAGGTTCTGACTCCCATGGAAATAAATTAGCAG